GCCCCCCCCCCACGTCGGGCTTCTTGCGGTCGCTGAGCCGCCTGGCGAGCATGCTGGGGGGCATGGCGGCGCTGTGGAGCATCTCCTGCGCTCTCATCTGTATCTTGATGGAACGGTACAGCTGCTCCTCCTTCATCTGCTCCCCCGAGGCGGCGGCGTACACCGCCCTGGGCACGGGCTTGGCCCTGAAGGGTTTGACCTTCTCCTCGCCGGACGGCTGGGGGGGCTGCAGCTGTCTCTGCTCCTTCTTCAGGCGCTCCCTCTCCAGGAAGCTGAAGGGCTTCTGGGCGGCTCCAGGACGCCGGCCCTCCAGCTCTCTCGCCCGCCGCCGCTCCTCCCCGCGCCCCCGCAGCTCGTCGTACAGCGGCAGGTGCACGTGAGCCGGCACGGGGCCGGCGCGGAACTTCCTCTGGCACTCCGTCAGCTCCTCCAGCTGCCGCCGCAGCTCGGCGTTCTCCCGCTCCATCGCCGCGCGCGCCTCGGTGCCGCGCTCCCGCCGCTCCGCCTGGCGCTGCGTCATCTGGAAAGGTTTGGGGACGGTGGGTCCGTGGCCCGGGCCTCCGCGCGGGGGCCTCCTCCGCCCCGCCCCCCCCCGCGGGGACCCCTGGTCCGTCCCCAGCGGCAGGCTGCGCACCGAGGAGGACAACAGGTGGCGGTTGTGAGGGGACAGGTTGAAGTCGCGCCACATGTTCTTGATGTGTTCTTTAGGGGAGAAAATAAGACCGCTTCCCGCGTTGTTGATGGCGGCGGCGTCTTCTTCTTCTCCTGAGGAGGAGGAGTCCGACCTGCCGGAGGCCCTCCTGAGTTCCACAGCAGAGTGGGACTTCCTTAAACGGCGTGGAGCGGCCGGGCTGCTGTCCCACCGCGGGGGCCTAAAAGTGAATCAATAGTGGTGCAAGAATGTGCATTTAACAAAGTATCTGTAAATTACCTCCATGCAACATTCAGAGGACCAGATACACATAAGTAACATTTACCTGAGCAGAGAATAAAGTCGCTTCCTGTGTGTGTGTGTGTGTGTGTGTGTGTGTGTGTGTGTTCTTATCACAGCTTCTCTGTGCTCGGTGGACATGCGGCAGCACGTGCACGCGAGTGCATGTGAGCGTGCTTACAGCAGACCACGTTGGAGTGGAACACATCTCGCTGGATTGATTACTTGTTTTATTTATTTTTTTAAAAACATTATTCAAATGACGTATTTTATCCAATAAAGCAAAGCATTGTTTAAGGATAATAAAGCAGCTTTTCCTCACATTCAGGAAGCTGAAAACCAGCAACACACGTAAACAACTGTGGTTATATATAGAAGCAGCTTCATTTACTGTCAATCAACCAATTGATTTATAATCTCAGCTTTAATTATAGTTGTATATGCTATGATTGAATGAAACAAAGGGATGTTTGAGAATAATAACAGCCAGTCTGCTCGCCGTATCTGATGCATGAGGGAGATTTTAAAAGAGCAGTTCGCCAAAATGACACAAAATCATTACTTAATGATTTTATTTTCCCCTACACACAGTCGGCATAGCAACAAGAGTGAATAAGTGTACTCAGTATTGTATTCTGATTTGGGGGAACAGATCCTTCTATCTGTTAAATGTTGCTCTCAGGTCAAAAGTATTGCATGGTACTTTGCCTATTTAGTAAAGTTGTATAAAAAGAAAGGTGTATGAATGACCAGGGAGACAAACATCCGCACATGAGGAACACTATGAACTCTGAGACGACAGCCGCCCACCTGTGCCCAGGTGTCTCCAGCAGCGTCGGGTCCAGAGTCTCCATGGCCTTGAGCTGCAGCTTCCTGCGATACATGTTCTCCAGCTCGGCCATGGTGCGCAGGTGGGCCTTCTTCAGCTCCTCCAGCTTGCTGTAGTACTCCTCGTTGGAGAAGAAGATCTCGCTGAGGTCGAGGCGCTCTCCGGCTGCCGCACGGTCCGTTGTAGCGCCAGGACCTCCCTTCCCCGCGTAGATCTCATCACAGAGATCAGAGCCTGAGTCCTCGTACTCCAGCTGGGAGGGGTCAAAAGTCACATGGAGCACATTGTCCATTCATTAGTGGCAGTTTTCTATAAATCTGGAGCAACTGACGAGGCGGGACCTCAGCGGGAAACCAATTTAAGTGGATAATTGGACCCAAACCTTGTACCATTTGCACACCATGACGTGAAGTGCAGCCTGAGGCGTCCAGACTGTTACATTCCACGCGGGGCTGCAGGACATCGCCTTTGACCGGCGGGCCTGGAGGAGCAGAGCCGCCCTGCTCAGCGGCACTCGGGCTCCTCCAGGGCTAAGCCTATTAACGGCGGCAGCGGGGGCCATATGGCGGGGCACAAAAGGGCGGCCCGCCGCGAGCAAGCTCAGCGGACACACGCCCTGCATAGTCTGGAGCTCACATTGGTCTCTACGAGGCGTTTGTCCTCACTGAAAGGGGACGAGTAGGGGAAAAGAGGGGCTACTGTGGGACCCCGCTGCACGGAAGGACACCAGCGTTGTTGTCCTAACGATAACGAAGTGTCTGGGGATTATGGGTAATCTAATCAAGAGGGGTGTCTAAGAATAGTCACAACAAACTATGCAAGTGAAATCCTCTGCGACTCTTGACTGACCTGAAACTGTCACAGCTGACAAGACCGGCTCCAAAAAGTAAAAACTAACTCATGTCGCAATGAAATCAATTTGAACACCTCTTAAACTTTTTACACTTTGTTAAGACAAACTGGATCGTTACGATCTTAAATCTGTGGTTATAAATTAGTCGACAGCATCACTAATATGTGGGATTAATGTGATGGTGGAACATTAATACTCTTTGTTGGTGCTGGTGGGGGGATGATAGATCTGTCACACACCTTTTGTCTGTGTTTAGTTCATGATACTTTTTTCATCATATCTCTATTGTGCTGATGTTGGAACACAGTGGGATTTTAATTCACTCATTTAGGTGTAAATGTGCTAAAAGTTAGTTAGCTAGTTTTAAGTTCATAAACGTTCAAACCAAGTCTTGGTTGAGGTTGACTAGAATCTAGTTTTACCAGCGGTGGAAAAAGTACTCAGACATTCTTCTGCCTGAGTGAAAGTAAAAGAAACAATTCAAAATCCTAAATTTAAAATGTATTTACAGAAATACTATCTAGTATAACTAGCCGACTTAAACTAGTACAAGTATGTAGAACGGTTCGTATTAAAGTATTACCGTTATTTAGACTACCACCGTAACACATTAACATACGAATCAGGGTTTTTATATTATATATTTGCATTACTGGAGCTCAGCGCTTTAACGTTACCTCCCGGTTGCCCTGACGACGAGTCGCCGGGTTCGGCCGCGCTCTGCGCCGCTCGTACGAAGCTAACGGCGCTCTGGTGTGCGGGTCTACCGGCGTCCTGAGACACGACGTGACCAGAACGTTTGTCCGGTGGGGGTTCGCCATGGCGTTGTAGACCTTGTTCCGGTTCTTAAATATATATGCATATATTTATTTTTACTTTCAAACTCTACGCGTTTTTTTTAAAGAGAAGTCTGCCGTGTGCTGAGCGTTGCTATGCACGTTGGTTCCTTAGCAACGCAGCGGATATCGCCTAGGAAGGGAAGCGACTGCGCATGACAGGAAATGAATGCAGGGGAGTACAAAATAAAAGCATCGTAATTTAATTTACCGACCGCGTCTCTAATAAATAAGATTTATTATTTTAAAGCTGACATTTTAAATAACTTGTTTTAGCTTGAGAACTCAATTTGGAGATACAGGTTTGTCCTTGGACAGGAAAAGCTAAGCACGTGGGAGAAAATGTGTCATTGCATTACATTATAATGTCAATGTGGTGTAACCAACTCAATTATTTTTAATAACAGCAACTTATTTTGATATATTTGTGATGTGCGGATTAAGTTCTACTTCCTCAGACAACGTCTGTAATGTCAAACTGCCTTGTTGGCAAATTTATTGTTTGACAAGTAACATCAGAATAAACCATTTTGTGTGTGTAATCATTATCCAGAATTATCGGGGTAAAACACCATTTCTATAATAATGCTCAACCATTTAAAATTGTTTGAAAATAAGTACTTTTACTTGTATACTATTACTGGGACACGAGAGGTTGAGCCCTAAAGTTGACCTCAGTGCAGGTCAAAAGAATCACACAGGCAACAGCTGGAGTGTCAACAAAGAAAAAAGAAGCCTTTTCTTTATTAAATTACGCAACGTAACAACTACAGCGGAAATCTGAACAGACAGACGTTGGAGTCCTTTGATCCCTCGCAGTACGAACCGGCTTAGTGGACAAAACTCACTGGACAGACTCAAATCGCTTTATCGGCAGTTCACCTGCAGGAAAAAAAAAAAATCACTTTTAGAAATAACTCAAGATTCAACAAGACCACAAATATCTCAGAGCAGTTACAAATAAATTGAGTTTGGGGCCTTGAGTCTTACAATGTCGTCGATCTTGAGGATGCTGCGGACCGTCTCCGTGGAAAGGGTCAGAGCGCTGATGGAAACCAGTAAAGGCTGCACCACCAGCTCCTCCAGGATGTTGGAGATTCCTCCCTGTCTCACACACACAGAAGAGCAGTCAGCCACATCGGCGAGGACTCCGCAAAGGGAAACGTTAAAATGCTGCAGAGTGTGTAGTATCGTTACTGTCATTATTTAAAGCTCAGTCTCAGATCCCCACTACGCTGCTACGTGAGCATCGACGTGTATTGTAAAGGGAGGCGCAGGACGCACCTTGCGCACGTTGATGCCGGCCATCTTGTCTCCCTGAGCGTGCCGGTTGCGGAGCTCCGTCACCGTGGAGATGGGGTTCAGGCCGGCGTTCTCAGCCAGCGTGGAGGGGATCACCTCGAGGGCGTCGGCGTACGCCCGCACGCAGTACGCCTCCATGCCCGCCAGGGTGCGCGAGTACTCTGCCAGACGCACGGCCAGCTCGATCTCCGGAGCGCCGCCGCCGGCTATCAGAGCCCTGAGGGTGGGGGAGGTGGAGAGGTTAACGAAGATAAATCAATAAGACAATATGGCACGCTGGAAGGGTTAGTACTAAAAACATGGAAAGATGGCAACATTGCTCTTCTTCTCAGCTGTTCCAATGTTACTATAACTTAAAAATGCATTCAAATAATTTTATTATAACGAATAGAAAACACAGTAATTAATATTGGACATCTAATGTTTAGAAATAGTGATTTAATTCCACTGAGGAATGTTAAAATAATGAATATTCCACTTATATAGCACTTTAAAATAGTTTACAGGGTTCATGTGTGAATGTCCTCCGGCCAAGTTGCCAAGACAACCAGGAGCTATTTAAAGGGGAGCTTTTCACTTTACTGTTCCTCTGTTTCTTACGCTCCTGCAGGATGAATCAATGCAAGAGCGCCTTTGGAAGAGGGAATCTGTGCATCTCTACTAGCTACGCTGCGTCGCCTTTAATGATTCCTGCATGCTTGTGAAATCAAACGGTGCAGGAGGAAAATGGCCGACCTCTTCTTGACCAGGCAGCGGATGACGCAGAGCGCGTCGTGGATGGAGCGCTCCGCCTCCTCGATCACCAGCTTGTTGGAGCCGCGGACCACGATGCTCACCGTCTTCCCGGGGCTAGCGCAGCCTGTGATCTGCAAGGGAGCGACACCAAACAGTCACAGGAGGACCTCCATCGGGGGCCGGTGGGGGGTTTGATGTCTGCTCGTCCAGAGATCGCCTACCTTGACCAGCTTGCCGGAGCCGTCCAGGTTGACCTCCTCGGCCAGCTCCGCCGTGCCGAGCATCTCCGGGGTGAAGTGGTCGATGTGGGCGATGGGCTTGGTGCCGAGTGTCTGGAGGGGAAAATACTCTGTTCACCATTTGCAAAGGTGCAATCGCATATTAAAAATGTAACGTCGTTTAAAAAAAGTACAATAAGAAAACTTCTGTGCAACAAAATATTTACTCTTCACACCGAGATGAACAGAAAACGTCGACGCTCACCTTACAGATGAACTCGATGTCCTCCCTCTCGATCTCCTTCACCACCATGATCTTCATCTTGTTGAGGAAGTGCAGGGCGAGGTCGCTCAGCGCGTCTCTGTGAGCGGACAGCTTGGCGTTAGTACGACACGGAGGGACAGCGGGTCGACGCCGGCGTCTCATGACAAGTACCTGAGGATGGACTTCTGGATGAGCAGCACGTTGCAGCCGGCCTTCTTCACCTGTTTCACCATGTTGAGGATGTAAGTGCGCTCCTCACGCAGCACGCGGTCCATCTGGGCGTAGTCGGACACCACGATCTGGTTGTCCATCTGAGTGTCCCCAAAAACAACAACAACAACTAGCAGGTCAGCAGGGAACTTATTGTGAAAGTGTGATTGTTCTGTTGTTGGTTTGCTGGGGTGGGAACCTTTGAAGCGGAACAAAGTTCATTGTATTAAAGATCACTTTGATGATGCAATGTTCCCGACATGTTCCGCAACTCGTCTCCGACATGAAACGATAAAAACCGCAGGAAGACTGGAATCTTTCCTGCGAGACTCACGTCGGTTTTGGGAGGGGACAAGCAGAACTGGATGAGGCCGATCTTGGCCTTCTCCACGCGGGACACGCTGCTGTTGGCGACCCTCTGGGTCAGTACCAGGCCGTCCACCAACTCGCAGTCGTCAATGGTCCCTCTGAACACGCAAGAGACACATGGAGGGAAATCCTGATCAATGTGCTTCATCTGAAATCCCTGTGGAATGCCATGATCACAGAAACATTTAAATGCTTCAAATACATTCTTTAAGCAAAGAGTACGACCCTGTGGCACTCACCCGAGCTTCTTGATGATCTTGATGTCGTGCAGGTCGACGCCGGTGGCGGTGGCCGGGTCGATGACGCGCATGACGGCGTCCACGCTCATGGGCGCCAGCAGGCTGGAGTACTGCGACACCACCTTGGAGCACAGCGACGTGGTGGCGCTGTTGAGCAGCGTCTCGCGGTCGCTCAGCTCCACCGGCCGGCTCATGCCGGTCAGCACCTCCACGCCTTTCTCCACCGCCTTCTGGAAGGACTCGGAGATGGTGGTGGGGTGGATGCCTGACCGACGGGACCACGAGCGAACGTTAGTGATGACGTCACTTGGCAGAGAAGTCGATCTGCAGAAAGCTGATCGACTACATTCAGATGATCTTTGCATTTCATTTTCGATTCTCACCTCTCTGCAGCAGTTTGGAGCAGGCGTCCAGCAGCGCTCCAGCAATCACCACCACAGAGGTGGTGCCGTCTCCGGCCTCGATGTCCTGGGCTTTGGATAGTTCCACCAGCTGAAAACACGCAGACATCCATCCAGGTTTATAGCAGATCACATCGGGCTACGGCTTAATGAAACTCAAAGCTCTGCTTTCAGCAGTAGCGTAACGCCGTACCATTTTGGCTGAAGGGTGGAGAACCTGCATCTGCTTCAGGATGGTGGCGCCATCGTTGGTGATGGTCACGTCGCCTTTCTCATCCTGGATCTGAAACAAGTGGCACCTGCTTTAGAATCACGCGTGGGACACGGGAGCTAGGCGACGTTAGCGTTGAGGCCTGATGTGATCACTCACCATCTTGTCCATGCCTTTGGGCCCCAGGCTTGTTCTGATGGCATCAGCAACAGCTGTCAAACAAAGCAAGAATTAAATCAACTCAACTGCCATGTTCTCATAAGTACTGGGGACTAAAAACACAATATGTGCATTAAAGACTTTTTTTGAGGGTTCTACAACTAATTAAGCCTCCACAACAAATGCTAGATAGAGTGAACAAAGGACATAAAGAGAAAATCAAGCAAAGCGATGCACATTCCCTCCCTGTCATACATGCTGGATACGTCATTTTCTGCATTTAAACAGGATGTTTGATGTCGCTTTCCCAAAATAAAAGACTTACCAATAAGTTACCCATTTGAAAGAGTGATTGTTGTGCATTTATGTTGAAGCTTTAGTTTCGCATTACGTTTTATTCTTAGTTTATAGTCTCATTGTAATGTGAATTCTCATCTATTTCAAATGCGTATCCATGCCCTCTGTGTGTAAATTATTATTTTCTGTTAGTTGCTTCTGGCCGTGCACAGCGTGCAGCGCATCGGAGATCGCGTCGAGTCACGAGCATCTTCCCGCAGAGACGCACCATCTTCTCCCCTACGCCGAATGCGTTTCCAGCCGAGTAAAGCGCTTCCAGGTTAACGTCGTGTAAGCCGAATAGAAAAGGGGATTCTTCTGGGTGCATTAATAACTTTGTCTCTTGGGTTTCGTTGGGTTTGTGTCATTTGTCCATTACGGACCGTTAAAACGACACTTTTCCGAATAGGATGTCGCGCCAGGTAGCAGCTAGCGGCTACGAATAACGGTGCGCAGCTCCGCCCGGCCCACGGACGTGACCCTGGACTGGGGGCGGGTTTGGTGAAGAGGTTTGGCGTTTTAAATTGCCTGTAAATATTTCACCAACCTTTAGCAGCAGAGATGTTGCTGAACCGAATCTGGGCCGGCTTGTCGCGGTCCACATACGCCCCTCCTTTGTGTCTACCCATGTTAGATGCTCTCGGTGCCGCCATAAGTTCGGGCATCTCGACCCAAGAATCGATGGATGAGGTTACGGGAAGTCTTCAGAGCAGGACGGATGGTGTCCCGGAGCTGAAACACCACGGTTCGGCTTCGGATGGACTCGGATGGAAGTATCTCCCACCGGTCCTATTCAGAAACTTCTAGAGGGATCGACTGCTGCGTAGAGAGGAAGGAACCGGCTGTCAAACGGCCGGACATGACGTATTCAGGCACTGCGAATCGAATACCGACGTCACGGATTTGTTCATGCTGATTTAAGAGTTAAATAATTACATTTACTGCCTATATTATATATTGTATTGTAAATCATTAAACACTGTGGTTTTAGCATTTTTTCCTCCGTTAAACCTGGAACCTTCTCGTTGAGTTGATAAAAGCTGCTCCGGATTGATTACTTTTGTCTGTTACGTCTGAAATAGCAGGAAAGACGCGTCCTGGTAGCAGCATGTTAACAACTAACTGAACCCTGCTTTGTTTTTGTTACTTTACATATTCACTCATCCACCACCCGTCCGGTAGGTTCATTCTGACTATTTAGCCGCTGCTCGCGGTGCCGTTCTTCGTTCTCGTCCTCCCGCCGCAGCGTTAGCCGAGTTAGCTTAGCAGGGTCCGGATGCATGCTTATTATCCTGCTGCATCACGCGCACCTTCTAATAACAAGCTCTGGATCTCCTGACACCGAAGGCGGCTGTGGGCACAGCGGGATGGATCAGAGCAATGTGTCCTCTGCATGTCCGACAGCTCGTTCACGCCTTTGGGTTCTACAAAGTCATTTTTATGTCTATTTTTGCAGCAGATGAAGAAGAACACAAAACCAATCCCCTTGATTTGAGTCATTTCATATCTTAATGTCAGGATATAGATCTTAGGACATAATATACATTAAATACTCTATATGAAACAACCCCATGTTGTTGTACTCCTGTGAGACTGTAAGCACTCGAAGGATCCATCGTCTCCCAGTAAATGTGAAATGACTGAACCCTTAAATGATGTGAGACTACTTTACAACTCTGGCAAGCAGTCTGGAAAGTCATAATCTGTCATTTAAGATAAAGATAATGTCCCCCCGCAGCGTGCAGCCATGCTGCCTCTGAAGGACGGAGACAAACCCGTCGTCCACAAGCTGCTGTCGTCCGGCTGCTGCGCCCGCTGCGTCCTCCGGTTCTGCTGCGTGAGCGTCCAGGCCGCCTACAGGAAGCCGCCTCAGGTGAGACTCACCTGCTGCGTCGGCCATGAATGTTGACACCCCCCCTCCTCTATGGACGGCTCAACCCCCCCCCCCTCTTCCTGTCATCCCTTTCACCAGGAGACACTCGAGGAGCTCCGAGTGTTCATCAGCAACACGGAGAACGGAAAGTCCCGGCAATCGGCGACCCATCCCGCGGCGGGAAGCCCCGAGTCCCAGAATGCAGCGGGGTCGGACCCGCCCGGCGGGCCCCCGATTAAACGGGTGAAGCTGGAGCCCGCTGAGCCGGGCGCCGCCGCCGCAGAGGGAGACGCCGCCGCTGAGGTCAAAGTGGAGGAAGAGGAGTCCGGCGTGTGTGTGGCGTGTTTGGGGATCCTCCAGGAACTCAGTGGCCCCAATCAGGCCGTGAAGGTGTGCGTGTGCGTGCGTGCGTGTGCGTGCGTGCGTGTGCGTGTGTGTGTGTGTGTGATGGTGTTGTGCTGCAGATGAGCTGATTGTTTTTTTGTTCCGTGTTCACAGATCGCAGAGAGAGTCAAGGAGGGAGAGTACGAGTTCGACACCCTGGTGCTGTCGGTGTCTCTGCCCGCTCAGCTGTGTGTGCGCGAGGTCGGTGTGTGTGTGTGTGTGTGTGTGTGTGTGTGTGTGTGTGTGTGTGTGTGTGTGTGTGTGTGTGTGTGTGTGTGTGTGTGTGTGTGTGTGTGTGTGTGTGTGTGTTTGCGTCGAAAGGCAATGACGCCTCATTGATGAGCTTCTTGTTCTCTGGTCCTTTAATCTTTAATCCGACACTTGTCCAGGTTCAATAAGAACGGTGCACGCTGAGTAAATGTGTTTGATCATTTATTCCTTAATCCTGCAGCACTCCTGTTGGCTCCACGTGAAGAAGGAATTGAGGTAAATATCTTCTGATCAATTCTGCGCTTCACAGTCAGAAGCGAAACTCGAGCTCCCGGGTCGACCCCTCTCGCCTTTCTCGCTCAGAGAGAAGAGTTCGGCGCTCGGCAAGGACGACGTCGTCCCGGTGAAGGAGGCCTTCAAGTGGATCATGCAGGGCCTGGTCGCCAAGGAGCTGGGGGGCGTTGCCGTGGTGATCAGGGTGGGCAAGACCAAATGCACTGTTAGAGTAGCTCAGGAGGGTTTGTTCAAACCTCTGATTGTTTCTCAGTTTCCGTAATCATTTCTTTAGATTCAAATTGAAATGAAACGTCTCCCTCTTTGGCGGTCCAGAGTTTGTTCGAGGTCAGTGTGGAGTTCACTCACCCGGAGACGGAGGCCGACTGCCACTTCCTGTGAGTCCCCAAAACCCCACCTTTTCTCTGTGAGCAACCGAGAGGTCAAAGGTCAGAGCCTCAGCTCATCCGCCGGTTCTCGTGTCTCGTTTCTCCCTCTTTGTCGCCAGAGCGTCGACGTGCGGCGACTGCTTCAAGCCCACCAAGAACAAACAGGTGAGGGAGGGGCTTCTAAGACCCCAGGGGACCCCCGCCCTGCGGTGAGGGGGGTGCTGACTCGCTCCGCGCGTGTTTTTTGTCTGTCGGTGCAGTCGGTGTTCACCAGGATGGCTGTGGTCAAAGCCCTGGAGAAGATATCCGACGCCGTCTTCCTGAAGTGAGTGAGAGGGAAGTGGGAGAGAAAGACCGAGGCGGCCGCTTGAGGGCGATGATCACCGCTCGTCTTTGTTTTTCAGACACTACGCGTTCCCGCCGCCGCGGCCGAGCAGCAGCTGCGTCCCCCGGGACGTCCAGTGTCTCCACGCGTCCGTCTTCATCGCAGGTACCGTGAGACACACACACACACACGAGAGAGAGAGAGAGAGAGACGCCCCGTCCTGACGCGACTCCTCGCCGCGCAGGGCGGTACAACAAGTTCTGCCGCAGTCTGCCGCAGACGCCGTGGCTGATCGACGGCGAGAGGAGGATGGAGTCGTCGGTGGAGGAGCTGATCGCCGCGCCCGTCCTCTCGTCCTTCAGAGCCGCCGGTGAGTCGCCGCGCCCACGTCGCCCACCAACGCCCCCCAACCCCACCCCTCCCTCCCTCCCTCCCCCCGGACGCGATGTCACAGCCCCGCGCCTTCTGTTGCAGGGTTCAACTTCTCCTCGTCGGGGCGCGAGGACGTGGACGTCCGGACGCTCGGGAACGGTGAGAAACGCCAAATGATCTGGGATGTTGTTTTTCCCGCGTCTTCTACGTGAAGAGTGAAGCTTCTCTTGGTTCCCGCCAGGTCGTCCGTTCGCGATGGAGCTGCTGAATCCTCACCGGTCCAAACTGAGCCGAGAGGAGATGAAGCAGCTGCAGGAGGTCATCATCATCATCATCATCATCATCATCATGATCATTGTCCTCACTGTCCTTCCTGAGCAAAATATCTCAACAGCTCCGGGTGGAATGCGTTAGATTTTTGTTTTGAAAGCAGCTGTAAAGATCTGCAGGAAGTGGATTTGAATCCTTTCCAGGCTGCTGATCCGCTTCCTGCTTGTATGAAACACTGAACGCTCAATATGTGCTTAGTATGAAGGCGCTGCACCGGGTTCACGATGAGGGTGGGATCACAGCAAAGGGAAGGTTGGATTACTGCGATTCCTCCTGTGGGAAGTTGTCTCTGTAGACTCTGAGATATCGGACTCGTTGGCTGTTTAAAGTTGCTTTTACACAAACGACTCATTTCCTTTTATTTTAGACCATCAACGAGTCTTCGGATAAAATCCGGGTGAGAGACCTGCAGATCGTGTCCAGGTGAGAAAACGGTCAAACTAAAATGACAGCGACGACGCTGAAGGGTGGGGGTGGTGATCGATGGGCCGTGCTTGCAGGGAGGCCATGGGCCGCATGAAGGAGGGCGAGGAGGCCAAAACCAAGTCCTACACGGCGCTCGTGTGGACCCAGAAGGCCATCCAGAGCCAAGACATCGCCTTCATCGACGGCATCAAGGTGGCTGCACAGCCACGACGCGCTTTTCAGCGGGTTAGAGGGATTATTAGGCTACTAACACCCCCCCCCACCCCCACCAGGACCTGACTCTGGACCAGAAGACCCCCCTGAGGGTTCTGCACCGGCGGGCGCTGGCGGTCCGTCAGCGAGTCGTCCACCGCATGAACACGCGCTACCTGGACCCCCACCACTTCCACCTGGAGCTGAAGACGCAGGCCGGGACGTATCCCCCCCCCCCACAGGGGAGTACCTGGGCTCATGTACTCTGAGGAGAGTACTAGAGTTAACGTACTTTGAGTGTAGTACTGGGGTTAATGTACTTTTAAGTTGATTACTGGAGAAACTTCCAGGACTTTATAGTTAATAATACAAAATATGATTAGGAAATAAAAAAGGTTATAATACTTCACAGATGAAAGTCAGTACACAAAGTACTTCAAAGCAGAGCAGAATGTGCGCAGAGAACTTGTGAGTACTTCTTGTGATGTTTCGTCGTCTGAACTTTGACCTGAACCGACCTTCAGCTACATCAAGGAGTTCGTCCACGGAGACTTCGGCCGCACCAAACCCAACATGAGCGCGCTGCTGAAGATGGACACGGACATCCTGGAGCTGGACGTGGAGGTGAGAACAAGCCCCTCCCCCCCAACCCCCCCCCCCCCCCCCGATATGTGAGAACGGAGCTCAGGCCGCATGGTAACAAAGACCTGTGTGTGTGTGTGTGTGTGTTGCTCCCTCAGTCTGTGGATGTGGACTGGCCTCCGTCCATTCCGGAGTGAGCGCCTCTCCGTCGCCTCATGACGGAGGAGGGGCGGGGCGGGGGGGGGGGCTGTGAGGACGCCCCGCTGGAAGCTTCGTGATCAAACCTGGCAGGCTTTCTCCTAGTTGTGTGACGGAGACGAATGCTCCTCCCTCTGGGGTGCTTATTTCTGTTGAAAGGTCATGATGCCTGTACGGTGGCCTTAGTGGGACGTCTCGGACCCTCAGCTGGACGTCTACCGGCACGCTGATCGAACCCCATTTGTCACGGCGTTCGTCTTTAGGGGGAACCGGAGTTTATTCTCGGTATGCAAGTGTCTTCTGATAGCGTGAGATATTTGCTGAGGGTGAAGCCGACGCTTTAATTGAATCATTTTACCTCAGGAGTTATTTTTTTTATTAGGTTAAACCCCCCCTGGCGGTGTGCATGTAGTGCTGAGTCACACGGGCGTGTGGCATCAGGAACAAAGCACACGTCAAGTGTCGGCTGAATGGAGCATTTTCCCCGTTTGTGGCTGCAAATCCCGAACTGATCTATTTTTGTTTTGTGGACGTTGATCCTGATTCAAACAAATTAAATGTAAAGTTCTTTTGCAGTGGATCAACAGGTTGACTCATTTTGTTCATTGAATATAAAATCGGTCACTAATAACAATCCAAGTTGAGGTATCGCGGAGAATACTGCATGTGAAACGTGTACAGGTTGTATGTTTGTAAATGTGGACCGTCAACCTTTTTTTGTTTTCCTTCAATCTGAATCTCGATGAATAAACCACCAGGTTGATTTCAATTCTTCAATAAAAACAGTCGACAGCAGAAGCCCTGAAATGTATTTCTTTTAATTTAATTCAAAATAAATACCACGGCAACGCAAGTCCACTACTGAGTTCTTGCCCTAATGTTTTGGTAAGAAAACAAACAAGCAAAAAAAAAAAAAAAAAGACTTCAGTTAATGCATCCATCATCATCATCATCATCATCTCTCAACAGGTGCCTTTTCATCGACATACAAGGAAACTGCCTAGAATGACCAACATAAATAAAACAAATACTATGGTACAAAGAGCAAAGGATGATGGGATCTGAACAACCTGATGAAACCAGCACTGCAAAAAAATAAAAGGTCCCCTGTGGTCCCGCTTTGTAGTATTTTGTCCGGGGGGTGGGGGATGGAGGGGGTGGGCAGAAGTGACCGTGCAGCTACACGCGTGTCGGGAGTCGATCATCTCCGGGGACCATGGCAACCGAAGGAAGGTGGGACGTCTCCATGGAAACATCCTCCGTGGACGAGAACTCGAGTCGGTGCATCAACCCAAGAAGAACAAACCTCGATGAGGGGAGTGGGCGGGGGGGGTCCGATCCTCGGCGCAGTCTAACTTCTTTCCCTCTTTTTTTTTTTTTTTAGATGAATTCTTTTAACTTAAATGGAGTTTGAGTCTTTTGTTGTATTTTTTCAGTCACTTAGTCACACGAGAACGTTAAAAAAAAAAAACAGGTTTCTGTCTCGTCGAGAATCCACAAAACGACCCCAAAACAAGAAAAAAGAAAAAAGGCATTGCATATTTACATCAAGAAGTTTGGGGCGACTCGACTTCTTTGTGGCAGTCCTCACAGTCTTCATACACGAGAGTCTCACGGCTCAGTTTTCTCGTGATCTTTGATCTTTGACATGATTAGTGATTTATGGAGACGCTCAGTTCAGGTTTACAAACGTGTGTCTGTGAGAATGAATCTCATAATACTGACAGGACAGAACCGCTGCATCCGTTAGTGTGAGAAATGGAATCATCTTTGCTCTGGTCCATCGCGTACAGTCTCTTCTCTGTGTGTGTGTCTGTGTGTGTGTGTGTTCAGTGTTCCTGCACAGACTTCCATGTTCTGTACGTTTCTCTGATCCTTTGCGCATGAACTTAAAGAAAACAGTGATTTTTTTCCCCCCCAAAATAAACCTTTGCAAACACAAACAGCTTTTTAGGGCCTGGAAGTTCTTCCTCTGAAGCTTCCAGGTGTGCAGGAACCCTGAAGAGCATCGCTGGAGAAACCGCAGCTCAGATTAAAGTCGGCAGGACTTTCCAGAAACAAATGAAATTCGGACGTTCTTTTAACAACCATGTGAATAAATAACGTCATAGGTTATAGTGGTACTAAGGAAAAGTGTTTGGAGACACTCCAACCCACCTTCTCTACCGTTAAGCCAAGCTAGGCTAAGCTAAGCTAAGCTAAGCCCCTCCAGGCTCCAGCAGACGACATCGACCTCATCACCTCACTCTCGAAGGATGCGCACGAACCAACTCTCTCCTCCCCCCCCCCCCCCCCCCCACAAAAAAAACCCCGCCCCCCGGGGGGGGGGTTTCGGCCCCCTCTCCCCCCCCGGGAAAAAAAGACCATATGGTCCCTCAAGGAACGCGAGCGCGAACGCCCTCCCCCCCGGGTCCCCCTCGCGCGAGGCGCGCAGGAATTAGATTTAGTCTGGAGCCAACGGCCGACTTCAGTCTGATCAGTGTCAACGTGTGTGTGTGTGTGTGTGTGTGTGTGTGCTATGACAGCATAAACCTGACCCCTGACCCCCCCCCACATACATTAAGCCACATGTCCCTGTGTAAACACCCATCCCACTAGTCCTACAGCTACCATGAGGAAACAACGAGCGCAGGTGAAGAAGAGGAGGAGAAGCAGTGATGAGGAAGCAGAGAAAGGCCTCGTTCCCTTTGCCGGTTAGCCGAGTTTGAACGCGGTTGTGCTCTGTGGCGCCTGAGTGAACTGTGCAGTTTCTGGCAGTTTAGTGGTTGGAAAAAACAACAACAACAACTAAAAATATAGAACAGCAAAATGTTGAAGTGAAAAGCAAGAGAAAAAAAAAAAAAAGACACATAAGTCGAAGAAAACGAGAGCAAAGACTGCGACGCTGAGGGCCGACACGCTCGTCCGTCGCCACCCTTCTCTTAGTAGGCGGGACCTCGTTGCCATGGGAATGGGGGAATGTGCGCCACCATGGCAAATGTATGACAACAAAAAAAAGGTTTGTTTTTTTTGTAGTTTTCTTTCCGAGCGAACCACGAGCCGTGCACGTATTCTCCACTAAGAATGACTCACAACCCCCCCCCCCCCGACAAAACAAATGAACCAAAACACCCTGTCGGTATGATACGAAACATCTGCACACGTAAGGCAACATTTTTGGTTTTTGTTCCCTAAAACGGCTCTTCCAAACCAAGTGCAAAAAAGTCAAAAAAGAAGAAAAAACAAAAAAAGGGCAGAAACAACAAATAAAAAGAAAAAAAAGAATGAACGCAAGCGGGTCGACAACTTAATACTGACGGAAAAAGAATGAACAAAAACATTGCCTTCTGCAGTAAATAGCGCTGAAAATGTAGGAGACTTATTTTTTAGTGTGGGGAGACCGGCTGGAGTCTTCCCCACTGTGCAAAAACCTCTTTTAAAGTCCCTAAAAAGACCCCCGTCTGTGAGGAGGCAGAAGGAGAAAAAGAGGGAGACTGGATTTTTTTGGGGATTTTTTTTTTTCTTCTTTTTTTTTTTTTTTTCTTCCTAAAATGGCTACGTGTTTTCCTCAGAATGGCCACGAATGGGGACATCGGCCCGCTGGGGGACCCCACACCCCCACCCCCCCCCCCGGCGCTCACTCCCGCCCGCTGGCCGAGTAGGAGAACTGTGGGAAATGAGGCCTTCGCTCGTTGTCCGCCGCGTCCATCCCGTCCTCGTCGTCTGCAGAGAGACAGAGACAGACGGGTTACGGAGGACAGAGGGACATGAGCCAGGTAAAAGGCTGACTGATGTAACACACACACACACACACACACACGCGGTGTGAAGCCTCACATTTCTCCGGAGGAGTGATGGTGATGGTCTGTGCTGTGAACTCCTCGTCGAAGTAGCGCGTGTCCGTCTCCGAGCTGACTTGGGGCTGGAAGGGCGGGACCAGCTGGGAACGAGACAGGAAGCACAAAGTCCTTAAAGACTGAAAGAAAACTAAAAACAGACTAAAAAGAGGAGCGCGTCATCTTCTCCTTTGTGGTCTATTTTGGCTGGTTAGCAGACGATAGAGATGAGGTTCCTGGATCCCAGAATATCTCGTCCTGCTCTCACCTTCTTATCGTAGACGTCCTGCCAGTCGACGGCGTTGAAGAAACTGTGGCGCATGATCTCCTTGGCGTCGTCGGGTCCTCCGCCCAGCCTGTCGGAGAAGAGACACAAGGCCTCCGTCAATGGACCCAGAACATCCACCTGCTACGGACCCCAGGAATCGCTCTGGGGGGGTGAGCGAGTTCGCTCCGCGGAGCTGCAGTGGCCTCTTTTCACTCGAGACAGAAAAACGCCTCAGGGACGATCACGAGGGGGAGGGGGGGCTGGCTATGGAGGTTTAAATGGTGAAATCTAGTCAAGTGTAAGGGGGGAGGGAGGTTTCCTCCACTTGTCTCCATGTTTGATTAGAAGGAGATCTTCTTTTAATCTCCTAAACTTGTTATAACGTCTGAAACACCATTTTAAATGTGTGCATCATGCAAATCACTTTCATCGTGACTGTGATCATAGTTCAACTACTCAGCAGTAGAAGACGTGATCTCGCATCGTATACTACTGACATTGTATTGCTGCCTTTCACAGTTTTAATCGATGACGATCCACCGTGAAACTGATCTCACGTCCTCGTCGATCTCCAGAAGGAGACAGAAATAGATTCGCACACCGGATGGAGCAGGAAGATGCACGCGGCCCTCGTGGCTGAGCAGCTCTTTGTGTTATTTTGGGCCTTTTCGTTCTTTGATCGGGCTTAACAACATCTGTGTTAGTTTGAGCACAAAGATACAAACACAGCGGGGGGGACGAGGGGGGGAGCGACACTTAAAACAGTGCTTCTAGTGAACAAAAACTCAACAAAATCAAACCTCCAGCCAACGCCAGGAGACCTCTCACTGCGGGCGCGGCTTCCACTGATTGATCACAGCCCTCCCACATGTTACACGCGTGTGCGAGTGTGTACCGTTTGTTGGGGTCCTTGATGAGCAGCCCCGAGAGCAACGACTTGGCGTCGGCCGACAGCGTCCGGGGGAACTTGATCTCCTCCATGAGGATGAGCTCGAACAGCTTCTCGTGGTCCTGGTTGTAGAACGGCAGGCGGCCGCACATCATCTCGTACGTCACCACGCCCAAACCCCACCAGTCCACCGCCCGGCCATAGTCGTTGTCCTCCAGCACCTGACCGCACACACACACACACACACACACGCGAAGCAACGCGTAACCAACGCGTTCTCTCTGCTGACCAGCAGGGGGCGACTCCCCTTTTTGCAATAGAAGTCCATGAGAAAATGACTCTACTTCTCTGTTGATTAGTTCCCTCAGTAAACATTGTAATCAGAGTCGAGGATCTCAAGGTACTACGTGTGCACAGGCTTTGGCTGCACGAAAGCAGAGCGCAGGTTTAAGCTGAAACAGGAGCCGGATTTAAATCTGAACGTTTGCGTCTTTCTGCCCTCAGGAGTTGACAGTCTGGTTGAACCGTCGTCGCACACAACAAACCTTATGAAACACTTGTAAAGGGGACTCTTGTACAACCTAAAAGCACAAAAGGCCATTCAGACGCACAGAAATCATCACTTATTCCTGCCCTCGACATATCGGATATCTGCTTTTGCCTCCTCTTAATGGGAAATGTACCTTTCCCGTTAGCAGACGGGTGAGCACTTCCTGACATTCTACTTTGCCGGGAAGGTTTCTAAGCCTCAAACACAACTTCCTCGCCCTCATCTCATCTGAAGGGGTCTGACCTCTGGAGCCAGGTACTCCGGGGTCCCACAGAACGTCTTCATGGTGGCAGTGTCGGTGATGCCTTCTTTGCAGAGGCCAAAGTCTGTGATCTTGATGTGGCCGTCTTTGTCCAACATGAGGTTCTCCAGCTGATGAAGAGGACGAGAGGTGACGTTTTTTTTTTTTTTTAAACACGTGGTTTGAGGTGCGTTTGTGCCGTGACGCGGTGCTCCTGCGGGGGCGCGGCGTACCTTCAGGTCCCGGTACACGATCTTGGCCGAATGGAGGTAGTCGAGAGCGGAGACGATCTCGGCGCCGTAGAAACGAGTGCGGTCCTCCGAAAAGACTCGCTCCCTCGACAAATGGAAAAACAGCTGGCGGGAGAAAAAAGGAAAACGAGCTCCAACACCTCAGTCGCCAAGACATTTATATTATACAACAACCGTTATTATTTTACATATACATGGCGAGAATCTGGCGTTATCCGCCCCCAGACGCTCCCCGTCACGGCAGCTCTTTGAATCCAACCGTCAGCGCTCTTCAAGAACTCTGGAAAGACGACGGCGGATCAAACCGGGTTCCTGTCTGACAGAGCGCCCTTGATGTCTCACCTCGCCTCCGTTGACGTACTCCATTACGAAGCACAGCCGGTCCTTAGTCTGGAACGAGTACTTCAGAGACTGCAACACAAAATCTTCACCTTATTTTTAAGCCGGCGACGCTGCAAAGACGCTTAGGGACAGACGCTTTGTGCATGCGTCGTTCCTTCTAGATTCAACGTTCATCAAAAAGAGTCTCTTTATTCATTCCATTTTCCTGCAGGTACTCACCGTTAGGAATGGATGCCGGGTGTTTTTTAATACCCTACTTTCTGTGAGCGTGTGAGCGACTTCATCCTGCGAGGACAAAAAGGGACAGAGGAGACGCTGATTAGTCAGGAGGACATTTTCTGGTTGCATTGAAAAGGTTTGTAATTGGGGAGGTGTGAGGACGTCACGCTAACGCCGCCGTTAACGCGACCTGCAGCCGATTCCTCTAAATATGGGACATTTACACGCCGAATATTATGTTCACAGCCACGCTGCGTCTTTCTCTGAACAACAGATGAGAGGACAATCGGGGACAGGGACCTTGGCTATGATGACTTCCTTCTTGAGGATCTTCATGGCGTAGTAGGTGCCACTGGCCTTCTCCCTCACGAGAATGACTTTCCCAAAGGTGCCTTTGCCCAGAAGCTTCAGATAGTCAAAGTCAGTCATTGTCTGCACAGAAGGAACAAGACGTGAGGACACTTTGTCTCTTCAGGAATCGCCCGCGCCCGGCTGGAGCGTCTCCGCCCTCACCTTCCGTTTGTAGTGGCCGATGGAGGTGTCCATCTCCTCCTCGTTGACGTTCTCGATCTGGGAGGTGGGGCTGCTGAGGATGCCCTCCTCCTCCTGCTTGGCCAGCGACTCGGCCACCATCTGGATGGCCTCGGCCCACTCGTCCCTGCAGGGGGGACAAAAGAGAGGACATTACATTTTGAACCCATTGCTTTTTACATTTTAGCCCGGGGAGCAAATCACCTGCATCATTATAGAATAACTTCACAGACTTTAAGGTGGATTTCGAAGAAGAAGAAGAAGAAGAAGAAGAAGAGAACACAAGAACAACGGCTCACCGCTCATCCGGAGTGTCCACGTGGAAAGTCCTCTCGATGACCGTGGTCCACTGCAGGCAGCGGATGATGAAGGTGTTCGGCTTGGGCCGCTCGGTCTTCATCAGCTGACATTCTGGAAGACACACACACACACACACACACACACACGGAGATGTAGTGCGCTGGGCTGCGTGCTCGCTGGCTCCAGCTGCGCGTGCTGTGCTGCGCGTCTTACTGTCTACGGAGAAGTTGTTGAGCGGGTACGCCAGGTCCGAGTCCTGCGGTTTGTCCTTGTAGCCGATGAAAGAGCCGTCCGTCTTCAGCAGGAAGTAGCCCGGCCGCCAGTTCTTGATGTACTCACCTGAGGGGAGGGAGGGAGACGGGTCACCTCCTTCTAAAAAAAAGGTGTGTTTACAGGTGGCTAAATGTCCGTCCCCCCCCCCCGACGGAGGACACCGGGGTGTCTTTTCATTCTCACCCTCCTTTTGACTGATGTGGCGAGCAGCCACACGCGGTTACTAGATAGAGGGCGGCGGCTACAGGAGGGCAAGCTGAAGGATCAGAGGTCACATCTAGAACAAGTGTAGCGCAGCGGCTACGTCAGAAAAACTGCGATTTCACTGACGGCTTAGTGCGGTGGCGCTTTGATTAGCGGGAAGAAGTGCATTGTGGGGGAGGGCGCGGCCGGTAATCGCCGTCTCGTATTCATCGTTGAAGCAAAATGAGAGAGAGACGAGAAATGACAAAAGATGAAAAACATTTTGTTTTGTGGGAGCGCAAAGTCGACCGTTTCTGCACCTGGAAGCATCTCGTGGTTCAGGCTTCATTCTTGGCGCCGCCTCGGGCGAAGGAACACGACACGCCCGTCATCCACACCAAGTCGCCGGAGCCTCGTTTCAGCCGCTTGGCGCTGCTTTCGTCACGCACCTTCCTCGTGTTCTACGACTTAACTGCGTGGACACGAGGAGGCCGCTCGCCTCTTCCTCCCGCTCCGAACCTCTAAACGTGGCGGTCTTTAGAAACCTGCCGAGCCTCCTCACACACGCCGTTTGTGTAACACCCGCACTCGGCACGCAGCATCAAGAGTTTTACAACCGCCGACTTCCACCATTAACAGCCGTGAGCGAATGTCCTCAAACCGCGACCCGGGGGGAGACGAGGGGGGCGAGCGGTCCTCACCTCTCTTCTGGACCCAGCCCTCCTTGATGACGTTCTGGTCGCTCATGGTGGCTCCTCCTCGGCACCGGTTGTCCCAGAGTGGTGGCGGTGGTGGGACGGCGGTTGAGGGGGAGGACGTAGCGGGACAGCCTTCCCGCCTGACCGCCGCTTGACCTCCGACCTCAGAGCTACAGAGCGCCGGATACATTCTGACATCAGGTCACATATATTCTCCCCCCCACCCCCCGCTGTCACTTTCTCTTCCCCTCCTCGCGGCCCACCGACCCCACCTGGCTCGCTCCTCACTTTCTGTTTGGCTTATTACTCCCTTCCTTCTCTCCCCCCCTCCCTCCTCTCCTCTCACTCTGTCCTTACTCCCTCGCCCTCTCAAACTTCTTCTTCTTCTTCTTCTTGTGTGTTGAGGCGCTGCAGCGGTGAGTCAGCCTGGAAGGAAAGAGGGCAGAACACACAACAACAACACAGAGCGGGTCAGCGGATGGTTTCCTTCACACGGCCGGCCGCCACTTATTGTTCACAGCCTCAGACACACTTCCTGTCTCCTTAGGTCCTTGCCCACTCACAAGTTCTCCTCCTCTTCCCCTTCCTCTGTTCTCTCCTTCCCCCCCCAGTGGTCTTCTCCAACTTTTTAACCTCTTCTCCATCGCGGAAGCTTTCCTCAGTAACTCCCTCTCGTCTTCTCGCCCATCAGCCTTCATATCAGTCCCTTACTTCCTCCTCCCTCGTTCACTCTTGCCTCAAAGAATGGCCGATCCTCCCTCAATCTCCCTTCCTCACAGACTGCGCCTCCCTGACTTGCGTCTCTCCTTCTCCAGTCTCCTGGTTCGTTACATCATTCGCCCCGTAATTCCCCTGTTACAATAAATTGTGTGAAGTAGGGTTTTACTTTCGCCTCCTTTTTTGTGAGTTTTCTTTATTTGATATTTAATAAAGGATATATAGAGGATAATATTCTTGTAAGTTTTCTTTATCACCATACCCAATTTTGTTTACATTAATGTTGTTATGAGAGA